TGGGATGTAGCAGGAGATGCCGCAGGTTGAGCCGCCTTGGAAAAGCCACACAGAGAGCAGAGGGTTGGGGGACTGTCACCCAGCTGCCTACAGGCACCAAACCTTGCCCAGCCACCACCATCAGTCCATTTTCCTGCCCGCTGCGCTCCGGGGCAGCTGAAGGATCTGCAAGAAAAGCTGTCCCTGCCAGACCACACATCCCTTCCCCCAGCTCCCCAAGGCGCCCGTCTGCCCAGCCATGCATGCGGGTTCGCTGTTCCCTTCTTGCTCGAAGCGAGAGCAGTTATAGTTTGCCGTGCCCAAGAGGGGAAACCACGGTGGGAGGGGGGGTGTCTCCTGACTGAAGATGAGAGTAGCCCTGGTCTCGCGGCTGGTAAGTCACTCCTGAGTTGCTTGTGCAGGGTCAGGCGCTGGGGGCTCGGTCTTCGAAGCCACAAAGCTCTGTGCAGCAGGATGCCCTGATCAGTGCTCCTTCTCGTCCGAAGCTTTGGCTCCTTGCCTTCCCTCGGGAGGAAAAACCAGTGCCCTGAAGGGGATGGTGGCCATCTCGGTGTGTTCATCAGGACTGGTGGGGCACTCTGCCTGCAAACATGAAACATGCCCAGTCTCTTTTCAGAGGCGCACAGGAATGGGATGAGAAGCTATGGGCACGAGCTGGAGAAGGGAAATTCTCATTAGGTATTAGGGAAAAAATCTTCACCGTGAGGGTGGTAAAACACTGGCACAAGGACCAAACTGGGGCAGGAATTGCCATCCTTGGAGATCCTCCTGAGCAACCTTATCTACCAGTCCTGCTCTGAGCAAGGATGCACCAGGGACCTCCAGAGGTCCCAACTGATCAAAACTATCGTGTGATTCAGAAAGCCCCAATCTGTAGCAACCCACCCTGAGCAGAGATGAAGTGGTCACCGAGGTGAGGGTGCCCTGAGAGCCTTGGTTTCAGGGGAGTGCAGGTCCCGTTGTTTGTCAAGGAGCCATTTCTTTTTGCAGACACCTTGCCCAGAGGTGGAGCAATGAAGGACGCTGGGACTCCATTCCCACTGGAAGTCCTAGTCCATGGGCTCTGTCCTGCAAGGTGCTTGAGTTGCTCAGCACCCTCATATGCCTTGGCAGCAGTGCAGGTAGACCTTTCACACCAGGCAGGTTTAGACCCAGGGTGTGTCAGTAAAGTTTTCCTGAAGTTCCAGGTGGTTTGTAGGTGAGAAGAAGATGTAGCCGAGGTGGCCAACTCAGGGGCCACTACTGGTACAGTAAACTGGATTCTCTTGGCCAGCGACACATAGCAACACATCCCCCAACCCCTCCTGCTGGGATAGATGGAGGTTGAGACACAGACCCAGCTCCACGTGGACCCTCCGCAGCCATTATCTACTTTTGACCATTTGCAGGACATGGGGGGCCAGTCCTCCGCAGCTTCTGGTGAGCCAGTTCTGGCTCCCTATAGGATACAGACTTCACTGGCAGATCAGGAAGCCAACATCTCCGCTCCTGTTTCGGCAGGGGGGGGCAGGGCAGGATTTTCTTGCAAGCCCCAGCCTGCGAAGGGAGCTGCTTTCATGGCTGGTGTCTTGTTCCTCTTGAAGTAGAGGCCTCGGACCCAAATCAGAAGGGCTGGGTCCCCATTATCGTGAGAGCTGGGACTTGTACTGCTCTGGGCACCTTCTTAGAGGCCTACCCTAAAATGTCCTGTGGGAATGTCTCCTCTCTCCTGGGAAGGACTGAGAAGGAAGCGGAGTCAGTGAGCAGGAAAGTAAGGGTGGGCAATGGAGTGATTCTTGCATAGGGGCAGAAGCAGAGGCTTTGGGAGAGAGGAGGTAACAGCTCTTCTCTGTCAGGCACCAGCGTGACTGATCTTGGAATACCGTGCACAGTGCC